ACACACAGACAAACACACAAACAAACACACAAACACACAAACAAACAAACACACAAACAAACAAACACACAAACAATCACACAAACAAACACACAAACAAACACACAAACAAACACACAAACAAACACACAAACAAACAAACTCACAAACAAACAAACACACAAACAAACACACAGACAAACACACAAACAAACACACAAACACACAAACAAACAAACACACAAACAAACAAACAAACACACAAACAAACACACAGACAAACAAACAAACACACACACAAACAAACACACAAACACACAAACAAACAAACAAACAATCACACAATCACACAAACAATCACACAAACAAACACACAAACAAACACACAAACAAACACACAAACAAACACACAAACAAACACACAATCACACAATCACACAAACAAACACACAAACAAACACACAAACAAACAAACAATCACACAATCACACAAACAATCACACAAACAAACACACAAACAAACACACAAACAAACACACAAACAAACACACAAACAAACACACAATCACACAAACAAACAAACACACAAACAAACACACAAACAAACAAACAATCACACAATCACACAAACAATCACACAAACAAACACACAAACAAACACACAAACAAACACACAAACACACAAACAAACACACAAAGCAGTCTGCACACAGACAGAAGCAGCTGAAACAGATTTAAAGTGAAGAAGTGATGAAGAACAGCTCCTCCTCCTCCTCCTCCTCCTCTCTGACCTCTGACCTCTGACACAGGACACGCCCCTCCTCCCCCCTCAGGCCTGATGTCACCTCTTCCTTCTCTTTCCATCCTGACCCCGCCCCCTGGGGAAGGCCCCGCCCCCTGAGTCCTGGGCCTCTGGGTTCAGGTCTGAGCAGCTCAGTTCCTGCAGAAACCACAGAAGAAGAGAGGAGTGGGTTTTACCTGAGAGGAGGAACAAACAGCACCGTTGTGTGTCTGTTTGTGTGTCTGTTTGTTGGTGGGTCGCTGAATGTTTATGGTTCTGATGTTCTGGACTTAACGTGGACCCATGGAGCTGATGTGGACCTGGATGCTGCTGCAGGGACTCTGGATCTCAGGTCTGAGCTGGGTTAAAGTTCTGCTTCTGAACTGAATCCAGGTTTTATGGATCAGAACCAGAACTTCCTGATCTTCATCCTGTCTGGTTGTGATTTAGTTTCATTTTCCTCCATCTGTCCCCTGGCTTCTTGGTTTGTTTGTTTGTGTGTTTGTTTGTGTGTTTGTGTGTTTGTGTGTTTGTTTGTGTGTTTGTTTGTGTGTTTGTGTGTTTGTTTGTGTGTTTGTTTGTGTGTTTGTGTGTTTGTTTGTGTGTTTGT